AGCCTATACTAGTATATAATAAATTTTATCCTATCCTTAGTAAGTATATAGATTTATCCCTAGAATAAGAGAGTTCTTTCTAAGGAAAAAGAGAACCCTTCACCTAGTTAGTATTACTATTCAGCTACAACTAGGTCGTTAGCGTAGCCTTTCTAGATTTTCTTTACAACTAGCTATCTTATCGCGGCTAGCTATCAGCTATTAATAACTAATAAATCGCTATCCTTCTATAGTATAGTATAGGATTCATAGGTTTTATTTATAAGGTACTCTAGTTTCTAGCTTAGAGCGTTAGCTTAAGTATTTTCTATTCTCTTAATATAAGAAATTCGAAGCTTAATAGTAAAGAGTGTTTCGTACTAACGAACCTACTATTAGTTTAGTTCCTTAGTAGTTATAAAGTAAATAAGATTCTTATAGTCCGTTAGGATCTATACCTCGTAGGTAGCGCCTTTAAAGTAGATTTTCTATTCGTATATTATATCTATAATTACTAGTAACTCCTTATTATATATATTATAATTAAGTTCTACTAGTAATAGTTTCCGTGAATAGTAAGTAACTAGTTACTATCTTCTGTCCTTACCTAGCTAGCTAAGTATAGCTCTAATAGTGTAATCCGAAGAATCTATCTCTATATATATTTCTTTATCAGGGGTAAAGGAAGTAAGCACTAGTTCCGCGATAAAAGCCGCTTTAAGTACCTTAAACGCTTTTTATACGCTATTAGACTAGTGGAATTCCTTATTCTTATAAGTTAACTCCGTGAGTAGCTTAGCGATTTTCAAGTAGTTTTTAATAAATCGCCTATAGAAGTTAGTAAACCTAAGGAATAATTATACTTCCTTAATATTCAGGGGCCTTATCTACTTAATAATTACTTTAATCTTTTTAAGATCTATAGCTAATCCTATAGTAATAACTATATAGCCTAAGAAGATAACCTTATCTATATAGAAGTTATACTTCTCTAGTTTAAGTAATAAGTAAGTGTTCTCTAGCCTCTAGAGAATAGCTATAATATCTTTTATATATTACTCCTTTAATTTAGAGTAAACTAGTATATTATCTAAATAGTATATATATATTATATCTAAGTAAGGCTATAAAATATTATTAATTAGACACTGAAATATAGCTAGTATATTAGTTAAGCTAAAGGGTATAATTATATACTTATAATAACTGAAATAAGTACGAAATACTATCTTTTCTTCTTCTCCCTTAGCTATCCTAATAAGGTTATACACTCCTTATAAGTTAAGCTAAGTGAAAATCTTAGCTCTAACAAGTCTATCTTATAGCTCCTTAGCTAATAGTAGTATATAACGATCCTTCTTTATAGTATTATTCAATTAATAGTAGTTAATATATATTTATTATCCTCTATCTTTCTTCTTTATAAATAAGATATTACTCCCCTATAGAGATTTAAACTCTTAGATAAATCCTTTCGCTAGGTTTTTATTAATATATTATTTAATTATTATTAAGTCTATCGCGGAATATTCCCTAAGTAATTAGAATATTAGTTTAATACCTAGTTCTAACTCGATCTAATAATCGTAGTCCTAGTGTTTTAATAAGGCCTTAATACCTTATTCCTTCTTAAATAGTACTATAAACTTCTTATATACTAATAGTATATCCTTTATTAGTAGACTCTTATCTTAGTATCCGAGTTCTTCCTTAGAAGTAGCACTAACCTCTTAAATACTTACTACTTCTATTCCCAGTAGATAATAGTAGTCTTAGTAATAACTAAACTTAAGTTTTCCTATCTACTAATTAATAATAGGATTATACTTTTCTATCTATAGTAACCCTAAGATAATATTATACTTTCTAATCCTAATAATATTAAATTAGATTATTTCAGAGTATCCGGTAATACTTATATAAACTAGAGTAGTCTAGACCTTAATTAGTCTATTAGAGGCAACCTTACTATCCGCTAGTACCAGATAGTATCCCTTATTCTTTACTTTAGTTAATAGGTAGTGCTTAAGTATAATAATAGGAGATATAAAGTTCCTTTATACCTTAGAGTTTACTATCGCCTAAAGCTTAACTCCCTTAATTTTTACTTCTAACGTGAGATACTTATCTCTAATAGCGGTAAGTTGCTATATATAGAAATATTCTTAATATATACTATAGTTAAAGATATTCTCCTATACTTTTCGATTACTATAGCTTAAGCTGACTTTATATATAAATCCTATTCCGAGTTCAGTATAAGTTACTAGGTTATATATCTCGTAATAGTACCGGCTATTATTATTAATATAGGCCTATATCTTATTATATCGGTTCTTAGCTATAATTTCCTATTCCTCGCCTACCTCTAATAGCGCGCTAGTATTAAGAATAATAATATTCTGGAGTAGTAAGTACTATATAAAAGTCGTCAGTCCTTCCTAGCTGCCGGCTATTCTCTATCTAATATATTTATAGTCCCGGTAGACTACTTCGTACCTTGCCCTTTATAATAGACCCCTTAAGCTAATAAGGCCTAGTTCTTAATAAGTAACCCCGGTAGCTATATTAGTCTAGTAGTAAGTGTTATAGCTAACCTAGTATAAGCTCTCTTCTCTTTAAGTAACTTCCCAAGTTTCACTTACTCTTAGTCCTAAGAGTTTAAGTTAAGGTAGCCCTAGTTCTAAAGTCTAATCAGGTTCCTAGGCCTCCTCCTCGCTATCACTTAGTATTAGCTCTATATTATTATCTAGCTTAGAGCTATTGTTATCTTAATATATATAGTTCTTAAGGGGCGTACTAATAATAGTTTACTTAAGCGAATCTATAACACTCACGGAATCTCGCTTATTATCATTAGAATCACCTAACTAAGTATAAATATAATTCTCCTTAAGCTTATCTATAGTTATATATTAATATGTCACAGCGAGTTATTATATTAGTTTATTATAAGAGCCACGTCCTATTACATTAGCATATTTCTTATCTATCTATAACTTCTTTTATCGATAAGAGCTAGCTATATAACTAAGGAGGCTATACTTAAAGTATAGCTTCTTTTCTTATTACTCGCTTATAACTTTCTTAGATAGCTTACTATTATATAGCTTTCCTTAATAACTTAGCTTCCGGAATATTATATTAAGTTCTATTTCCCGAAAGTAGAATAGTTTCTTATTATTACTTCCTCTTCCTTAGTATATATATATTCCGAAGTAGTATTAGCTTTTTTTCTTAAGTACCCTCTTATAATTTCAGTTATTAATCTTAATAGCTATTTTAATAAGTTCTTATAAGTTAGTAAGCGTGTCTAATCTTATTATCTTATCTTTTACTCCGTCTTTTAACCCCTTATAGTACTATACCTAAAGGGCGTTATTATTCTAGCTAATCTAATTCGCGAATTACTAGAAAGTAGTAGTATATATAGTCGTTAACCCGACTTGCTTTAAGTTTTAGATATTCTATTTAGTAGTATAGTTCTAATTAATATCACTAAAGACGCGGTTAATTCTATACTTAAAACTTTCGAAAGTTATAAAGATCTTCTAGGATTCCTTAGTTATTACTATAAAGACTCTCTTATCCTTAGTTTAGTTCTAAATATAGTCTAAGAGGAAAGTCTCGATCTAGTTAAAAGTAGATCCCTAGAGAAAAGATAAAGCTTAAAGAACTTTATTAGTCTCTATAGCGAACTAGTAACTATTAAAGCCTGTATAGAGCTTAACTTATATAAGATATACTCTAAGCTTAGATTAGTCTCTATTATAGAGATCCAGGGCGGTGATCTTAAGTATATTCTTTAGGTTAAAAACCTTAGTAGAAGCTAAGTAGTTATTTAATGATCCTTTAATAGAGGATATATTATCTTTATAAGTTAGTACCTCTAATAAGAAGGTACTTAAAGTGTAATAGTCCGGTATTTACTTACTATAAATATAGAAAGCTATAGTTAATCTCTAATAATCAAGAGGTAGGTATATCACGTAGATAAGAAGATAGTTACTAAGTATTAGAATACTATTTAAAGTTAAGTATAAAGCTTCTATCTAATAGTAGATATACTAATCTTATATAGAACTTTTATTCGCCTTAGATCCCTTAGAATACTAGATCCTTAGATCCTTAGATCCGTTTTCTTATAAAGGGATCCAGGGATCTAGGGATCTATTATATGACCTATTATCTACTATAATCTAGGTAACTATTACTACTAAAGCGTAAGTATATAGTAGTACTACTCGATTGTCCTATATTATTCCCTGGCTAGTACTACCTTATTAATAGTACTGCTCCCTTATTAGTACTAATACCCCTATAGTACCACTGATAGTTTTATTATCATATAGGTGCTAACTGAACCGTAGCGCCAAGGGGTTCGTAACACACGTGCGAAACACCAAAACTAGCGCGCAAGATCAGTATTTTAATAGCTATAGGTAATGAGTATCTAAAATACACGATGTTTATAGAATCCTAGAAAAGTAGCTTGTCTCCTCTTTTAACTTGTTTCTTGAATTCTACATAAGAAGTTGGTAGATACTGCGTAGAGACCGGTTTTCATTGCAAGGCGTGTGCTCGCCAAAATCGGCCACTTCTAAGGTAAATGGGTACCTTACCTCAAGGAATCCACCTGCATCCATGGATCAGCCGAGCAGCCCCACCCGTCCGCCTGCATTTTCTAAAATTGGTGCAGCCGCAGCCCTGCCGCTGCACCCTGCCGTGCACCCTGCCGTGCCCTGCTGAAACATCAGTTGTTGCTTCCGACGTCTACGTTGTTACAACCTACCACGAGGCAAAGCAAAACAATTCATCAAAGCGATTCAACCTATTTCTACCGATCCCTCTGGTTGCCTTCTTGCTCTTCCTTCGCTTCCCCTGACTCACTATCGATCTACCGCGACCGCCAAACCAACCGTCAAACTGCTTCTCGCGTTCCTCCCACTCTTTTCTTGCTCAGCGCCATTCAACCTGCAGCACCAGCCTAGCCAGCCACTGAACGGCAGTAATCACACATCATGAAGAAGTTCGGCTTCGGGAAGAAAGGTGGCGATGGAGATGATGACTCGAGCCGGTCTGCTCTCTTCGGTAGCCGATCCTCGAAGAACTCATCTCCTGCCCCTGCAGCCTCAAATCCATATGCTCAACCACCACAAGCCGCTGATCCCTATGCCCAGGACAACAACAAGTATGCGAACATGGGACCGGTAGGGCCTTCGGGAGCATCGCCATACCAACAGGCAAGACAAAATTATGGTCTGCCCAGTGGCCCTGGGGCTGCTCGTGGAGCACCTACACCTGCCGTTAACCATGGTCCATCACCAGGTGGATATGCAGCGGAGAAATATGGCAGCGGAAGAGGTTATGGCTCCAATCGATATGATGGGGCGCCTATTTATGGAGCTGGTGGTGATACCGGATCAAAATACGGCCCTGGCGGCTATGGGGGTCTTGGACGAACCAACAGCAATGAGACGACGGCCACAGAGGACAACCGCGACGCCCTGTTCGGGGGGGCCAAAGACCGATACGCTCAGAGGACAAATCCGCCACCAAGTAATGGACGGCCAGGGGGTGGCTACACTGCTGAACCAGGCACTTCTAGTCAAGGGGGTGGATATGGTGCGTACGGCGAAGAGAGGCAATTGACGGCGGAGGAGGAGGAGGAGGAAGACGTCGCGGCGACAAAACAGCAAATTAAATTTATGAAACAAGAAGATGTTTCTTCTACCCGCAATGCACTGAGAATTGCCGCCCAAGCCGAAGAGACTGGTCGGGCAACTTTGGCCAGACTTGGTGCCCAAGGAGAACGAATCCATAACACCGAGAAAAACCTGGATCTGGCGGCAAACCATAACCGCATAGCGGAGGAGAAGGCAAAGGAGTTGAAGACTCTAAACAAGAGCATGTTCGCTGTCCATGTCTCAAACCCATTCACGGCATCTTCGCGTCGTGCTACGCGTGATCAGGAGATTATCGAGAAGCATCGCCAGGAACGCGAAGAGCGGGATGCTACTCGAGCCGCCGCATTCGGAACACAGCAGCGTATGGAGAGAGCCTTCAAGGAATTGCAACCTGGGGATGTGGGCTATCGTGCTCCTCAAACCAAAGCCAGCCTTGCAGAACGGTCGAAATATCAATTCGAGGCCGATTCTGAGGACGATGAAATGGAGAATGAGATTGATAGTAACTTGGATGCGCTCGGCCATGCAGCTGGGAGATTGAATGCCTTGGCCCGTGCTACAGGGAAGGAGGTCGATGAGCAGAATAAACATATCGATGTGATCATTCAAAAGGTCAGCAGCCTTTGTCACTACTGCCTCTTTGCAATGGATACTAAGCTGACCAATAACTGCAGAGCGATCGCGTCGACGATCAAATTGCTATGAATAGAGCACGTTTGGACCGAATCCATTAGAACCTACACGGGTGGCGCGTGATGCCAATGGGCTCAGCATCATGGTATGTACCGGTGTTATTGTAGTAGAGCACATAGATTTCTTCTACAAAGTAGGGTCCATTCTCCGCGCGGTATCTTTACCAGGGTCGACTTGGTACTACAGACTTTGGTATGGAGTAACTGGCTGCGTTTTTTGAAACTGGCAAAGACTTTTCTACACAAATCTGGAAAGCTGCTATGGTTCCGTTTCATTAAATTACTGCTTTAGAGCTCTTTGTCACCTGGGGAGGGTCTTCTGGTGTATGTGAATGTCGGATATCGTTCAAGACCATGCAGTCTCTACTCTGTAGAATTGTCAAAGCTGGGGAAGATGATCCTTGGGTAAAGTGCTGGCTTTGACAAATAACCCTGAGCCGTCACATTACTAGGGGGGCTTATCTTCTGTTATCGACGCCACCAGTCACCCCTCCACTAAACTTACCAGCTTATCGCGACTTTAGCTCTTTAGGCAAAACAGTTTGCATTTCTTGTTTTCAGCGACCTGGTCTATGCTATCTTGAGCTTCTCTTTCACGGACAATCTAGTATTGTCGAATTGTTTTCGCTATGGACTCTCCTGATCCTCTTCCTAGGCCCTTCAGCCTCGCCCGCCAGCAGCTCCGTCGTCAAGAATCAGAACGGCTACTACCGCTACACCGTGCTCCGGATAGTTGTCTAGAAGACCGGCGTGCAGATCTACCTGTTTATTTCACCATCCATAGGTACTCGAAGATTTCTGTCCTCTCATATATGTTTTAGTCGGGACATGGGCTTGGCGTCGCTGGTACAACTACTGATCATTCTCCAGAATACGAAGAGATGTCATTGCAGCGATTGGTAGCGTTTTCTGTCTGTTCGACTTCATCGAGGCACCATCCTGACTCGTCCGGCAGATGATCCATACAGTATTGAGCAGCTTCGAGATCCACGAATGAATTTGACAGTTGTTCGGCCGCTTGTTGACAGATACTATGCATTGAACGATGTCTCCATGGGTATGTCCTCAGACATTTTATATCCACATGCCAGTATCGCCAAGTCCATTATTGGCGTCGCTTTGTTATGCTACCCTTTGGACTGTTCAAAATTATCTTGATCTATTCCAAACAGCTTCGTTTGTTCCTGTTTTCCAAAAGCGCCGTTCTAAATCAACAGTACTCCAATGCACTTCTCTGCCCCATACATGTATGACCACAGGCCCATACAGCCTGGTCTTTGAGCGTGGCTAAAATCATATTGACAGTTTACTGCCTCCTGGTAAATAGGACTCATTTTCAAAGGGAGCAATTGACACAGGGACATCAACAAAGTGTTTGCAGCACTCGTGCTTTACTTTGTGAACTTCTTGCCAATCGGATTCTCAGGCGCTTCCACGAAGACAATAACGGTGCACAAGGCTTGTTGCTACTTTCTCGGATCCTGGTTGGAGGCTTTGACCCGTTCCAAGGTGCTCCGTCCCATATCGTGGCCGAGAATAGTCAATTTTCATGGGCGATACAGACGAGGACTGGATATAGACGAAAGCTGCCAGCTCTTGAAATTGCCATTATTTCCGAGAGTAAAATATTCCTTAGCGTGAGTGAAGTCCACGTCCGGTTCTATCTCAGATTGTTCTGATATGCGGAAGTGACCGTATTGTTCACCTGTGGCTCTCGTAGTCTATTATTGAAGGACAGCACTGACTCCAATTTTCTCCACATAGTCATCAGCTTGCCAGTACGAAAGCTTTCCTCCATTTTCCACCACTCTTGCCTGAGACACGTTATAGGACATTCCCAGTGGGCACCTGCTAACTCCCCATTGCGTATAAGAATGGTCGTGGCCGCGATATACGAAGGCCGAGTGATATATACGCCAACATCTTTCATCGACATACTACCAGACCATTACAAGCAAAAGCCAATCGAATTGTACAATCCACGTAAAGCACATGTCTTCAATCAATATCGTCTCGTCGTCCCGCGGACGAGAAACGTCCTAGAAGTTGCTCAATTCATTGTGCTTTTATTCTTGTTCTTGTTCGTTATGGTGAACAGAGATCCAAGTACATTGCGAGGCGTGGAGCTGGCATTCATCATCTACACACTCGGCTGGGTCCTTGATCAAATTGTGAGTAACATTGCGATTCCACCCACGACTCACATCACAATAGAAACTACTCTAATAACCCTGTCTGCGAGCGCAGCACATTGTAGCCAAGGCGTACTAGCTAATGAAAAACCAGGCAAGCATACTTGAACACGGTAGGTCGCACCATCAATCGGGCTTGCCCAAGACTTACCTTTCAAAGGCTGGAATGTATATACCCAGAATCTTTGGTCTTTCCTCGATGTAGCTTTCTCGGCAATATTCGGCATTTATTTGGTTCTTCGTATACATGGTGTAAGTAGCAATCTCCCCGCTCCAAGTACCCCCGAATCCATAGTTGTTATCGGAGCTCATGGTGCTAAATGTACAAGTGGCGAACAAGGAAGTTTGGGCCGGCGCAACAAGCCATGGATGTTTTAGCATTGGGGGCACCTGTATTGATTCCTCGGCTCGCGTTCAATCTCATGTCCGAAAACATGCTTTTCGTCTCCCTCCGCGCGATGATGAGGAACTTCACTGTCTTGACCATTCTAGCCTGCGTAGGTGACACCAATCCTGCGAAACACATCATCGTTTAATTTCTTGACTCTAGTGGTGCTTTGCCGGGTTCCTCCTCTCCATGACATGTACTCTACCCCTGCCAAAGGCAATCCCCGTAATGACTGCCTTTGTAGTCGATGATGAAATTCAACCAAATGTTGCAGATAATTAGATACTGACTTGTCGGCTGTCATAGGGCTGAGCAACGGTGTACACGAGCCAATCACCATATCGAAATGGATGTTGTGGGTGTGGTTTGGTCTGGACGGCACTGGAATACAGCGATCAGTCGATTTCCATTGGCTTCTTGGCCCAGTCCTTATGGTAGCCTTTGCATTTCTAGGGAATACACTTTTCCTTACGATCCTGGTGTCCATGCTCAGTACAACATTTTCGACAATCGTGTCTAATGCTACGGCAGAGATCCAATTTCGACGAGCAGTACTAACCCTCGAAGGCGTCAAATCAGATGCAATCTTCGCCTATCAACCACCGTTTAATATTCTGGCGCTATTCCTCCTTACGCCCCTTACGTACATTCTTACCCCTCGATGGTTTCACAAGGTCAATGTCGCAGCTGTTCGAATAATCAATGCACCTCTGCTATTAGTAATCAGCGTTGTTGAGAGACGTTGTCTCTGGAGTGTGCATGGGGGTGGGCACGATGAAGCATTATCGAAGTCGAAAGGTCGACCCACTTTACGGGGGTTCTCCAGGGGGTTCTCTGTCCACGGAGATATACAGGCGGTCTTCGACGTAGTGGCCCCCGAGTCAATAGAGGGCGAAGCGCCAAATGAAAGCGATCCTGACAGTGATGTCTTCGAGGAAGCATTCGTAAGAAAGTTTGGGCAAGAAGCGACATCTAAAAGTAGAAGCGGGATAGGCAAGAGTAGAAGGGACTCAGTGGCGCCATTTGGTATGTTTGGTGATTGCATCATGGACATGTTGAGTGAAGAAGACGAAGATGGGGAGGGCAATGATGCATTGGCAAGGCTGGCAAAATTGGAGAAAGCGACTTTTAGGATCGAGAAGATGCTGGAAAAACATGTGTGGAGGGGCGAATAGTAACAGACCTCTAACAGATACCCTTGACGCCGAGGGTACTAATACGACCCTTGAGTTGGACAGGAGCGGAACGTCGGAGATAGATGATTGAGACGTGGAGATCAGAGTTAGAATTTTAAGCTTCGATTTTGGTCGTACGCCTTTGTAGACAGAACCTGCTCGAGTGTGTACTCACCACACTTGACTCATTATGCTGAGCGAGAACACAAACTTGTCCACCGCGGACAGGTGTAGTATGGAGAGAAAGCCACCGGGACAAGCCGGCGCTCCGCCGACGATGCTCAAATGCCAGGCGGTAGGCTCTATATCATGAAAGCTTCTTCAATCCAGTTAGCTTGGACTGGGCTTACTTTTTTGGCGTAATTCTTTGTAGTGAAGACATGCTCAAGAAACATAATTGCTTCCGATTTCTTCTGCCCAAAGAGCACACTTGATGGATGCACTGCGATCGGATTTTTTCCAACGGCCATCATATAGCTTCCATCTGGGGCCAGGAGGGCAGTCTTAGGGGCGAACGCGGTCAAGAATGTTTTGAGAATAACAGCAACCTTTCCGGGAGAAATTTTCTCGTAGGGTTCTGCATCTGTAGGTGGGAGTTCCGAAAGAAGTTTCTGCTGACGACAGATCTGACGGAGCTGTTGGCGAATTTGGAGTGCCATTTTCATAGCACGAGGAGCTATAAGTCGCTGTCTGCACCAGCCAAGTCGGTCGGTATGAGTTACAGAAGCATACTTTCCAATGACCCCCAAGAAGGTGATAATATCACCGTCTGGTGACAGTAGGTCCTTGCGTGCTTCGATAATGTGTTCTTGATCATCCTCAGACTTGGGTTGGTTGAATATTTCCGAATCAGTGGTGAGACATGATATGATGTCAATGACATCGAGTAATATGTGAGATCCAGGCTCAGCGGCGGCTATGAGAACTCGACCATATGTGGCGGGGAGAGGGAAAGTTGCTATATTCTTGCCCACAGTTGTGATATTGCCTTCGTCGTCTACGGCGCCCATTATATGAAGCTGCTTTAGAGCATTTTGAATTGCCATGGTATCGGGCGAGTCCATTAATGGGAAATCCAAAATATTGCCAACTCCACGGGATTTCATCTTCAGCACGGCCTCTACTACATCGCTACGTAGGATTTCTGGGAGCTCGTCTTGATCGAGTTTAAGGTAGTCTTCTTCGGTGTAAATTCTGAAGCATTTCCCTTTCGCCTCACGACCAGCACGGCCAGCTCGCTGGATAGCAGAGACCCGGGATATTGGTTTGGCCAGGAGAGACTCCATCCCTAGACGAGGCCGGTATTGTTTGACCTTTGACTTTCCACAATCAACGACAAATCTAACCCCAGATACTGTAACAGATGTCTCTGCAATGTTCGTAGCTAGCACGATTTTACGCGTAAATTTCTCCTTCACTTTTTCGAACGCCTCTTGCTGAGCTGCAGCTGGTAGGGCGCCATAAAGAGGCACGATCTTCATCCGAGGGAGTGTTTTGACAATTTTCTCTGCTTGATCACTAAGCGCAGTGCGCAGGGACTCGATTTCGTCCTGCCCTGTCAGAAAGACGAGAATATCTCCAGGTAGGGGCTCTGTCATATGCAGCTGGAGGACTGTCTGCAGAATCGTATGCAAATAATCCTGCGTTGGTTTACCCTCGTATATGATCTCGACGTCATATTGTCTTCCACGAACATATACCACAGCAACACCATTGTGCTTAGGTTGAGACAGGTGAGCAGATGACTTCGGCACGGTGCCACTGATACTTGACTGTATACTGGAGTTCGGGGTTTTACCAAGCGCAATTCCCTTATCGGGAGCTTGGATCACTCTATCCATGTTCCCAATCCCATTGTCGGAGTTGCTGAGCCCTTCCCAAGATGGGGATGATCCAGCGGATATTTTAGGTTGGTTTGGCTCTGCATCACTATTAACTTCGTCTAACACATGGTGAGTAAGAATTTTCATCATGATTGTTACCTGGTGTGTATCGAGGTGCGATGGTTGGTCTTGCAAAAAATGCTTCAATCCGAGCCAGGTCAAGAGTTGCACTCATAATAATGACTTTCAGCGAAACACCACCACGACCCTTCTTGTCGCCATGAACAAGCTTCCTGAGAAATCCTGCGATAAGGTCCACATCGACGCTCCTCTCGTGTATCTCGTCGACAATGACCGCGCTATATTTTCGAAGATGAGGGTCGTGCAGCATCTCTTGCAGTAGCATACCCTCGGTCACGAACTTTATCTTCATCCCCTTAGGTAGAAATGAGTCGAAACGAACGGCGTATCCGACTTCTCCTACTCCTCCAGAGAACGGAGATCCCATCTCAGACGCAACGCGTCGTGCCAGAGTCATAGCAGCCACACGACGGGGCTGTGTGATAGCTATAACCCCTCCAACAGACACTTCTGCCGTCTCTCCTCCGTCTTTTTGGATCTGGACCGTTTGCCTCTGACACCAAGGCTCCGTGTACAGAAACTGCGGCACCTGAGTACTCTTTCCAGAACCCGTCTCTCCATTGAGAAGCAAAACGTCGTTATTCAGTAAAGCCCCTCGAATGTCCTCTTTCTTGGGCCATATAGGCAGTAGCTTTCGAGTAGCTTCGAGCTGCTGAGCGATGCGATGAACATTTTGGCGATTTATGTCCTCGCGTCTAGAGCTGTTTCTTTGGCGTTGAGATATTTTCAAGCCATGAGACAGGCTATTTGAGAAAGTAGCTTTCCCCGAGAATTTTTGGTCGTCATTTTGCCTGGTTGCCCCAGAGAGAGATGTATGTGCTGCCTGTGTCGTGCCGGTGCTGGTCATATGGCTTCCGTCGGGCTTTGCATGCCTCAGTCTTCCTTTTCGCTCGGTATAATCTGTGACCTTTGGGCTCCCATCCCTCATGCGCTTCACTCCATTTATATCAGACAATTGCTTCGTCTTTTGAGTGTCAACGGGAACGCTCGTATCTTGCTGGCTCGCTGCACTGTCGTCAAATTTGAGATGGACTTTCTCAGGCATTTTACTGCGGCAGAGATACCTCCGGAGCTAGCCGTTGTAGCAGATACTGCGAAGATAGCGTCCGGTATGCTGTAAAGGTCTGAACAAGAAACCTGGGCTGTATTGTTGTGTCCTGTTCTGTTCTGATGATGAGGAGAAACTCAGATAGTTCACAAATTTGGCCCGTCTTCTGCCGTCGGTGTTCCGTGTCAGCCTGTTTGCCCTTCACCGCCCCCCTTTGAGGTTAGCGCTGGGTTCTTCAAGCATTCATGTGGTGCACAAGATACCAAGCACTTTCAGATCATTTCATCACTGCTAGTACCCTACTCGCACTTTCGTCTGGACTCAATACCTAGGTCTGAGAACCTCAGAAGTCCTACCTGTGACCGTTGTCGGATATGACCCAACTCGTGAACCATTCATTAGCCAATGCAGTCATTCCTGACTGACTCAATGTCACAACTCGTGGACTGTTTAGGTTGCATTCTAGATTGATGATACCATCCACAGAAGCCGACGATAGTAAGGGAGTAACCGTTCCCTCCTCTACATTGACGAGTACCGAAACATAGCCATACTCACCAGTGAGGTTTTCTTTCAACTCCGACCGAAATCGTAACATGAACATACAAGTCATCTCCCTTCCGTCGAACACTCACTTCCGTTGGAAGTACTAAGCATGACATGTGACCCTTGGATTGCAAATAATCAATCACTATCCTCCATTTCCTTCTTTCGTATCGCCTGCATGAGTTCATACATCTGCCCGAGCTGCTGGTCTGGGAAAAAAGGACATCAGAAAGACATATATGCACATGTAATATCACATACCACTCATTTTGTCCATTTTACCTTGGTCCATGCGCTCTCCAATCCAGGCATCACCCTCCAGCGCTTGCGCATACATCTGCCATTCCGTCAAGAATCCAATCTAGTAGGAGTCAGGTCATCCACGTAGACGGAAGCACGACCCTGCGTCTCAAACATACAATGTGAACTGGGTTTTCAATGTTTCTGTGTGCTCTAAATTCGCTTTTAACGTATTCGTCCCCGAGCAGCCGCATGTCCCTGGGCAAATGCTTTCGATGTGTGCGTAGTAATCTTCTGTACAGCGGAATGGGTGGTAACAGAGCCAGAGGCCCAGGCTTGAAACCTGTCGTTGTACCCAGACTTGAAGGCGATGCAAATAACAAACGCGGACCTAACCTCATCATGAATAGGCTTGATCCTGTCGTCTACGCATGTGCCGGATATGCTCCTTTTGTTGGCTCAAAAGTAGATATGAATTGTTGTAGTTGGAACGTGCTATAACTATCCACAAGCTTGTATGTCGTCCGGGTCTGGTCGTGACGCAGTGGACCCGAGACCCCTGAAATGAGCTTCCACTAACTTCGTAAGCCCACCTACACCTTAGCTTTGCACCAACATAACAACTCGTTCCAACCATAGAAACTACAGTGCATTGTCCTCTTACAATCGGCACCCTCAGATTCTCCTATGGACTGATCTCAACGGAATCTCGGTGAAAGATCGACCTTTGGGTGTCACAATGCTTCCAACTCCATCAACGTCTCACGTGGCATTTGAAAGGATTTACGAGCCCGCGGAAGATTCTTACTTGCTGCTCGACACGTTATCTTGCGAGGCTGAGAAAGCATTCCTACATGATCGTTTCCACAAAACTCCGCCCGGAAGTACCGAAAACATCCGCGCGTCTAACTCGCCACTGGTACTTGAGATTGGAACGGGTTCTGGGGTTGTCATCTCTTTTGTCAATGCCCACGCGGAGACAATATTTGGGCGGAGTGATATTATCACTCTTGGCGTAGACGTGAACCGATTTGCTTGCAAGGCTACAGGACAGACGGTAGAGATGGCACAAAAAGAAAAAGTTGTGCAGGAAAAGTTACATGGGTTCCATTTGGGTAATATCCTTGGAGACCTCACACGGGCTTTAAAGTCTGAACAGGTTGACATCTTGATCTTCAACCCTCCATATGTTCCGACTTCAGAACTGCCTCAGATGCCAATGGAATGTGCTTCCCAGGTAGCCACGTATAACGACGACTCGAAGCTACTTTCTCTATCCTATGCTGGAGGGCTAGACGGTATGGAGACAACTCACCGGCTGCTGGACAACTTGGGCGATGTCTTATGTAGGACACGAGGATGCGCTTATATCCTCCTCTGTGCTCAAAATAAACCCGAGACTGTCAAAGAAGGAATCAGAAAGTGGGGGCCTGGGTGGGCAGCTGAAACAGTTGGAAGCAGTGGAAGGAAGGCCGGTTGGGAGAAGCTTCAAGTTATCAGGATCTGGCGTACCAAAGAATTAACATGAGAGGGACACCGGTTTTTAATGAATCCAGTAGAAGCATTCTCGGCGTGTCGATTGCCTTCAGTTTTGATATCCACAAACGCCAGTGAACCTATAACCCCTCCCGTCCATGTATGGCCTCCAGGAAATCGACATACGGCGCAATCGCGGCATCCCAGTGTACCACATCAACATCTCCTCAACAGACCCAGCTAAGCAACGCACCCATTCTAAAATCCCCTCCCGCCTCCCCTGCCACGACCGCCCCTGAATCCTCCCCGGCCTCTTGGACCTCCACGACCTCTTCCGCCTCTGGCGCCCCCTCTGTCTGCAACTTCCTTTCGTGCCTTGTTCTTGGGTTTGGGCGCATCATCGATCAGAAGTGTATCCAGCGGTAAGGAGTCGGGGAGGATGTAGTATCTGATCGTCGAGCCTCGCAGGTTAATCGTGTCCAGAGAAATGGGATCACGACCACGTTGTGTCATCTTTACGGTTCGCAGAGCTGTATTCATTTGAGGGGAAACGGAAGTAATGGTGCCGTGGATTATCGTGCCTCCCAAATGTGTTAGCAGGGCCTCACTATGCAATTACTCGAGAACTACCATTCTTGAGCTCGATTGTGACCGTCTCATTGGCACATTTCATCAGAAACCTACCATGAGTGGCACAGTCAGTCAGAGGCTTTGCGCGAGAGCCTTGGAGGCAAAGAGCTCAGCTTATGCCAGTTGCCATGGTAGGTGTAAGCTTACCTGACGAGCTTCATCTTGCTTGTTGTCTGTGTATAAGCCTCGGGGCTATTATTGAACTGGCAAGGAAAAGGCTGCTGATTGCGTTGTAGTATTGTATCAAGGCGGCGCGGCTTTGTGTTTGGATCATCGATACTCGTATCGCCAAAAAAGTAAGGTTTGGTTAGCGGCTCATTGGAACCACGTGATATACACCATCTCAAGTTCGGTACTTAGTAAGTAGATATATAAATTTTAATAAGAAAGACTATAAGTTGGGTGATATAATATAAGTATACCTAGGTAGTAGAACTAGATATTATCTTGTTGAAAAAGTTTCCCCCTTTTAAATAGTGTCTATACACCTATTAATAATTAAATAATTAGCTATGTCTCTAAGATTATGTAGTTTAGAACTTACTTACCTAGCTTTCATTTGAATATTATAGAACTTATCTGTACAATTGAAGTTAAGGTAAAAGTGAACCACCCGGCAAAACCAGGAAAGAGGTAGATAAATAATCGCTGCCTTCCGCATTCATCGGTGACGAGCGATACCCTCCGCGAACGGTTTTCGAGCTGTTGCAACTTGCAAGCGAATAGGACCTGTGCCCCGAGCTTAGAATGCATGTCAGAGGATTCTATATCCTAGTTGAATTTTAGATAGAAGACAAGTTAAAGCGTAAGTGATCGTTTATAGTACCTACCTATTATATATAAGATAGATTAACAAGGGACTGTCACTCGAAGCGGCATTAACTATTAAATAGAGTATTAAACGCTAGCTCTTACTAAATATTAGTATTGTACCGGTAAACAAATAATAAGTGTATATTAATATACGTTAAAATCTAAAGTTTAATTTAAAGGTGTTTAAAAGTGTGTATTATAAAAAGTGTCTAAAAGTTAGAATATATACTACCTTTTAAATAAACCCTAGTTTATATTTAAAAAAAAGTTCTACTTTTAACTCAGATTACCTGCTTTTTTTAATTACCTTTTATATTTTTATAGTATAAGTTTATAAACTAATACTAGTAAAACTTTTTTTTAAAAATAAAAAGGTTTTTAATAACTATAAAAGAGATAAAATAAAAAACGTAAATATAATAAAAGAAACTAAAAATATGATTAAGTAATAAATATCTAACTTATAAAACTTAGTAGCTAAAATATATCTAGTTATTATTTAAAAGTACTTTTTCTAATAAATACAGATATAAATAAATCGTAATCTACTATTAAATAACGTCTTAAAATATAAAAAATATATATAAACTTATAAAAAATCAAATAATATTATTATTAAGTTAATATAAAGCTTTAAAAAGTCGAAAAGTTAATATTTCACCTAGTAGTAGTTAATAATATAAAAGTAAAAGATAATAGTAATAGCTAAGTAATAATAGTAAATAATATCGTATTATATTTAAATTAAGCCTAAATCTAATACATTTATTTATATAAAAATAACTGTTTTTAAAAAACCTTCTTTTTTTTATTAAATAATAATAATAATAACTATAAGTTTAAAATTGATATTATTTACTTTAAAGATTCTTACTAACTAAGAGATTTTTTTAAAAGATATTAAATAAATTAAGTAATTTAAAAGTAAATATATCTTATTTTAAAGGATAATATAATAGTAAAGCTTTTTACTAATATAAATTAGTATTAATTTCCTACTTTCCTAGTGCTTTTTTAGCTACGTTTTATATATAGTATTATAAATATATTAACTATAAAAAAAAAGGTAGTAAGTAATTATATAAATATTAGAGTTTCAAAAGCTTAAAATATCAGTATCATATTTAAAATAAAGATAAATACGAACTTATAAGTATCTTTTATTCAAATTACTTTTATAACTTTTTTAATTATAACTTTTTATTACTAATAGAAGTAGATCTTAATATACGCGGTTATTAAATATTATACTTCTACTAACGTTTTTACTAGTAAAAATAAGGCTATTTTTTAAAAAAGCTAGTACTAGTTTTATAAATGTTATTTTTATTACTAAAGCTTTTATACTAAAAAATATATTATTAGCTATAAAAGATATATTAGTAAAAATATATATATTATATATAAAAAGATAGCTAGAATTATAAAATAAAATACTATAAGTATTTCCTTTTTTAACTGACTTTTTTTACTTTTTTTTATAAAATATAATCTAATAGCTTATATTATAAGAGATACTTATAGCTTTATAGCGACTAAAAACTGTAAATAGAAAATAAAGGGCTTTATTAAATAGTCTAACTATAAAAAAGCGTTATAAAGTAGAGATAAGTACTTAAATAACTGTTATAAGCGGTTTAAAAAAGGATTTATATTAGTCCGCAGATCTTTACTATAGAAATATAAGAGGAATCAGGGGGTATAGGTAATCCCGGTTAGAAGGTAGACTCTTTTTATATACTAACTAGGAGTTATTTAGGAGGTAGTATATATTCTAACCCTTAGATACTCTTTATAAGATATACTTTTAAATACCTTTAAACTAAACCTTTAATTTTAATATATATTAATATATACTTATTATTTATTTACTAGTATAATACTAATACTAATTAGTAGTTACTTTATATTATAAACTTGAAATAGATAAGTTAAATATAATAGAGTTAACTCTTAAGATATAATACTAAATTAATATTAGTAAGCTCTTATTAAAACTAAGTAGAGTAAGCTTCGTAAAGTAACTAAAGAACTCTTATTAAAATTAAGTAAAGTAAATTCTATACTACTAAAGAATAATAGCTACTCTCTAATAGTTATTAAGATATTTCTAGAGCTATTTAGTTAGATATTTCTAGAATATTAAAAATATATCTAGAATACTTATAAATCACTTTCAATATAATAGTAACTTTAATAAATTAAGTTATAAAATAACTTAAAGTAAAAGTTAGAAGTAGTAAGATCTTAATATAAGATAAAACACTAGTACTTAGAGTATCTTTAGTAAGTCCTATAAAAGCTAATATTAATAGTCTAGTTTAAGGATTTATAAATTATTTTATAAGGAAAGGTATTTATAAGAAGATATAATTTTAAGACTTTTAAAAGTATTTTCCTAATTAGATAATAGATAATTTTAAGAAGATAATAAGTAAGTAATAATAAAAGCTTTAAGATTATCTCTTAAGAAATTAAGTCTATATTTAATATTAAAAGGGATTATAGGTTTCTTAAGCTCATATAGTAGTAATTTAAGTATAAGAGAATACTTAGCTAAATAGATAAGAAACTAAGCTATTATTAAACTTATTATTTAAACTTTTTTTTAGATAATATTTAGAATTATAATCTAGAAGAAAATTAAGTATAATAAATACTTTATTAAAATTCGCTTAATATATTATTTTTATCTATAGAGATTATAGCTTTTAACAATATAGAAATAAGGTATTATAATAGCTAAGAGAGGATATAAATAAGTAATCCCTTAAAAGACTAAGTTTTATTTTAGTATCTAAGCTCCTAAGGACTTTTATATATTAAACTCTCTATAAAAAGCGAAGATCTTTATAAAGCTTCTTCTTTTATTAATATTAAAAGAGAAGAATTATTTCTAATAGGACTAGAGAGATAATATATTAATTAGCCTCTAGTATAGAGACTAAGGGATAATAGTTTACTAGATCTTAATTTAGCTCTTATAATATACCTAAGGGATAAGATATTACCTCTTTTTTAAGTACTTAGCTAAAATAGGTTATATTTAGAGCTTATTTAACTAAGTTAATATATTATAGAACTAATCTCTTTAGAATAAGTAAAATCACTTATAAGCCTTAGTAAGATATATATTAAAGAGCTCTAATATAATGAAACTAGAGATTATCTTAATAAGAAGCTTTATATTTATACTAATCTTTATTAATAAGTATTAGTAGAGTTTATATTATAGTATAAAGTATTTCTATTTATACTTTAAGATAAAGCCTTATTATATTACTATTAGTACTTTTAAAATAAGAAGTACTTATTTAATAAGCTAGTATAAGCTACTTATAATAATTATAAAATAAAAAAGAGAGCTAATTAATACTTAAGTTAATAATTTAGTATAACTTTTTTTATATTTTAAAATAAGCTACTTTAAAGAAGTAAATCAGCTTTAATATAGTTAGAAAGCTTCGCGAGAGAACTATAAAGTATCTAATTAAGTCTTAAGGATAATAGTATATAAAATAATAAGATATTATATAATAAGCTAGTATAAGGAGTTTTAAGGAATCCCTTATTTAAAATAGCTCTATTTAAGCTACTCTTAATATTCCTTACGCTAATAAATAGCTTTTATATAACTATAAGTATAAAAACTATGTAAAATTCTGAATCTAGATCTAAGAGATACTCTAAGAATAATCTAAATTAGTCTTAAGTATATATTATAAATAGTAATACTTATTACTTAGATTAAAAGATAAAGTTCTCTTTAGGAAATAAATAAGAGAATAGATTTAAAGCTTCTCTAAGTTATATAAGTCATATTATTTATAAAAAGATAAATTACTATAATAGTTATTATTTTAACTAAGAATAAGTAGCTTTAAAAGTAAAGTATTTTATAAAATAAAAAGCTAAAAGTATTAAGCCTATAAAAAAGTCTTATAAAGTATATATAGTATACTTTGAAAAAGAGGAATTAGATTTAGAGCTGAATTAAGACTAATTTAAAGGAACTAATAAGGATTATAAAGGGGATAATTTTAATACTTTAATAAATGATAATAATAATTATTCTAATAATACTAAAGTAGATATAAAGAGTAAAAATAGAATAATATACTTTATTACTATATTTTATATATTAGAAATAAAGTATAATATAAGATAAGTTTTCTAATACTTTAAGAAGTATAAGGCTATTTATATCTTTTAAAGTATAATTAAGTAACTTAAGCTTGAAATAATAATAAAAGCCTTTATAATTTAGTAATCTAAGATAGTTTTTTAAGGTCTTTTAATTAACACTACAGTATTAAAGAGAAATATAAGTAGTCTTAACTAGTTATAAGCTTTATAATAAATTCAGAAAGTTATATTTAATAAAAGAGAGATAAGATATTATTAGATCGAATTTAAAGCTAGTATAAGAGTTATATTAAGAACTATTATAATTAAATATACTTATTAAATAGCTAGAATTTATAATTATAGATACTAATATACTATTCTTAATATACTTTTAATAGCTTAATAAGCTAGGGATCTATTATAATAACTTTACTAATACCTTAGTCTAAGAGAATATTAAGTACTTAATTATCTGGAAAAGTAAGTATATATAGCTTCTTTTAGATTAATATTACTAATTATTAGAGTATTTAAATAGAGATATATTAGCTTATTATCTTATAAAAATAGAGATTTATAGACTTTATAAGTAATTAAAATACTTATTAGTATAATATTTATAATATTTTTTAAACTAAGTAAGTTATATACTAGATTTTAATATTATATAATAAGTAAAGAAGATATATAAGTATTACTAGAAGTATATAAATACTTTATATTAGTTCCGATTTAGATTTTATAATAATATTAACTTTAAC